TTTAATGTTATTTGTATAGGAGCGTGGTCCAGTGGATCGACGATCTCATCCGCCACCGATGGGATCGCATCCACCCCCAGTGGGATTGCTTCCATTGCTGATGAGATCTCCCACTCCATCCGGCACCTCCCCCGTGGATCGATTTGCTCACAGTGATCTGTATGACCTTCTGACTGGATTTATGGTGGAGATGAGGGAGAAGGTGGGCGCACTATGAGGAAAGGTAGGGGTGCTGCGACGAGAGATGAGTGGCGAGATATCGAGTTTACCCCAAGATGTTACAGTACTCTGCAGCCATATATTAGACCTTGAGGTGCAGGTTGTAGCGCTCTGAGGCGATATAGCAGAACTACGAGGGGGTGATAGACGGGATGACGGGGAATGTGATAGACGGGACGACAAAGAGGGTGGTAGACTGGGCGAATCCCAGGCAGAGGGGCTAGTAGACGGGGTGGTGAGGCAGAGGGGGTGGCCGACGAGGTGGTCGAAGGGAGGGACTGGCCGACGGGGTGATCGAGGCGGAGGGGCTGGCGGAGGGGTGCCTCTGATGATTGAGGAGGGGCTGGCCAAGGAGGAAAGGACTCCGATCGTGACAAAGGGTAAGAGGCGTGCTGTTGATGTGCCAGAGCAGGAGCAGGTGTCGGCAAGATGGCGAGATTGCTGTCACAGTACGTCGTATCTCCCTTCACGGCTGAGGTGAAGAGAAGGACGTTCGTCGACAGGACGTACCCCAATCTCTTCCGAGAGGTGGACGCAGCCAAATAGAAAGCGTTCGAAATAGAGTGGAGAAGAATTAGACCCGGTAAGTATTTTACAATTTAGTTAAGTACGCTACGCTAATTAATCTGTATTTCTTTTAATATTTTTTTTTTTAGAAATAGCCGCAACGTAGGGGGAGGACGATCTCATAGGCCTATAAATGGTTTCACGACATCACCACTTCGGGGATGGACTTAGCTTGCTGACGATGTAAGTGAAATAGTTATATTGTTATTTATTATGTATACATAATTTTTTTGTTTATGAAATAAAATAACTCCTTCTATTTTTTATTGATGTTTCCTGATGTAGTACATCGACCTGCCCATGGAATTATTGCATGATCGAGCTCAAAGATATCCAAGATCATTCGATATTCCCGATCGACTCATATTGAGCACGAAGTTGGTATGTGCTGTTACCATTGAGTATCAGTCGATTCAACATATGGGTTATGAGTACGTATGTGGCCGAGTGGTGGGAGAAAGCCATGGGAGGGCTGTACGCCTATATACATTCCAGTGATCGTGAATCATCACTACATTGTTGTAGAGATTGTTTTTGCTGATTCCACTATATATGTGTACGACTCCGACCATTCATGTCTGACACAAGGCCAGATCGAGCTTAACTTGAAGCCGCTTTCAGTGATCGTTCCCTTGATGGCTGCCCGAGACGGTTCGATTGTGAAAGACGGCTAGCCATCGTGCGGGACACGACGACAGCAAGATAGCCGAGATCGTAAGTATTTATATTTTTTTTAACTTGAAAACTTAGTTTTTAGTTATACGGTACCAAACTAACACGTTATTATTCAATTGTAGGGACGATTGCGGCATGTTTGCAATAAATTATATTGAATTTTTAAGTATAGGATATAAGGTTGAGGAAATCAAACAATCATGGATACAAATTTGGAGGAATAAATTAGCGCCCGATTTGTACGAATTCGAGTATGATCCGTAAACGTTGTACATTTAATTTTTGCTTCATTTATTTAATACTTGTAAATATTGTACATTTAA